GGAAAAGCACTGGGTCCAGACGACATCAGAAAATCAACCTCTACTCTAGGGACATCTTTAGGAGAGCGTAATTCGGAGTGGAATAAAGATAAATGAACAAAATATAAGTAACATCCTTTACGCCGGCGACACTGTTTTGATAGCTAACAGTCTGGAGAACCTAAAAGAACTAGTGAGGTCTCTCAATATTACCAGCAACGAGTAGGGTTTAGAAGTTAATGCCAAAAAGACAAAGTACATGGCAATCATCAAAACTCCAACACCATATACCGAACTGCTCATCAATAACGACGAAGTCGTCAAAAGGGTAGAGAAATTCACTTATTTAGAAAGGATCTGGGCTCATTCTGTGGAGATCAAATGTCTAATAGAAAAAGCTCGAAAGCTACAATGAAAAACCTACTCACCAACAGAGACCTCAGTTTGGAACTGAAAAAACGAATAGTAAACTACTACATCTAACCGGTGCTTCTGTATGGAGTGGAGAGTTGGACAATATTGAAGGCTAGGGAGAAACGAATTAATGCCTTTGAGGTAAGGATTTACAGAAGAATCCTGAATATACCTTGGACTGATGACACAACAAATAATGAAGTCCTGAATAGAATGAGATGCCAGAAACAACTTACTAACAATTAAAAAACCTAAACTTACCTTGAATACCTTGAATAACTTGAATACCACGAGCATTGAAAATAAATATCTTCTATTACAAAACATGCCGCAGGGTGAAGTAGAATAAAAAACAGGCCCCAGTAGAAGGAGTATCTCTTGGCTGGCAAACCTTCGCAAATGATATGGTGCTACCTACACCGAGCTATTCTGTCAATGAAGTCGAATAACGATGATGATCGCCAACATCCGAAACGGATACAGCGCGAGTGGAAGAAGAAGAGTAAAGCTGTGGAACAGCTAGTATCCCCTCAAAAAGAGGCTCATTTGTTTGTGTTCTTGTAATGTCATTGCTATAGCCTCTCACCAATTCCGTTTTTTAGGTATTGAGTAGAATGCTAATAGGACATATACGGAAGATTTTCTATTCCGATTAAAATATAAGATTTTGTCGAGAGAATTTAAGGAATACACAAATTGTTTCATAAAATATTAAATTCATCTAACCCACAGGATAGGTGGTTTTAATATTTGAGTTCGTATTTTCATTATAAATATTTATCTATTAGAATCTAATCCATTACAGCTCTCTAAAATTTGTACATTGGGCTTATTTTTAATGTGTTTTAAAGAAGTCTATATATTTTTTACCAGTTTTTTCTTCTAATCGCAAATTTTTGAAATTTATTTTCTCCTTGAAATTTTCACTTTTTGCCAATCATCATTTTCTTTACTTTCTTTGTAAAACTGTAACTGATCCATTCGCTGTTGCCATTATCATCAGTGAAATTCCGACATTCATCCACGTTTTACAAGGTCCTAACTTGTAATTCCTTGGAGACGTCATACTTAACTCCATCAACGAGCAACCGCTGTGACAAAGAGTGGTTCTGTATAAGCCAGCCGATTTTTCGCTCACTATGTGTGCTCTGACAGATACACTACCGCCATAGCGGAATAAGGTAACCTTATTTTTACATACCCGCCGAAGAACTCGATATTTTTCTGTGCCCTTTTCATTGCCAATAGGGGATCTTTTAATTCAGCGTTGCCCAAAATAACTATCTTAGATCCTTTTCCTTTCCAGTTTTTGAAATAGTGGGTAGAATGCTCATCAGACGTGTGCCATTACTTCATATCGAAAATTTTCAATTCCAATGGCTATATAGAATGTTGGAGATCAAAATTAACACCGCAAAGGGTACACAAATGTATTGTGAAAATATTTAAGTCGTCTAGCCCAAAAGATGGGTTTTTTAATATTTAAGGACCTCTAAAATGTGCAAATATTTCACTGTATTTTGATTACAAATATTTATTTGATCTACGCCATTGCAACTCTCTGAAATATATTTTATAATATGCTATACATATTTACATATATTTAAAACTTGTTTGACGAATAAACTAACTTTCCTTTTTGCTACTACTCAGTATTCTTCCAAATTTCGAAGTTACTCGTTTCATTGAAATCAGTTTACCATAAAGCATTGCCCGCACGGAACCACGGAGTGTGTTTTATTTCAAAAGTTTCATAAATGTAGATTAAGATTATGATTGAACTCAGGTTCCTTTTTCTTTAAAATCTGTTTAACAAAATTAAATGTGTGCTTCGATTTCCAATCAAAATATATTATAATAGAGTAAGGAAAAAATAACAAAATTCTACACACAGAGAATAACTATAAGGACATCTTTACTGAAACAATATACCAAGTCATTAAGGTAATACATCTTATAGAAAACTGAATAAAACATTGACAACTGACACTAAAACAACTGAAGATCATCCAGTTAGAATCCATCAAAAGGTTGCTCTCCATAAACGTAAAATTCTTGATTCCACATGTCCATTTCCTTCTTTTTCTTGCCGTATTTAACATGTATTAGCTGGTCTATATCTAGATACGGGATATTCAATCTAGATGCTTGAGGCCATCTTACGTTCAGAAGCAGCGGATCTGGCGGATCTGGTGTGAAGTTTCTAATAAACAGAAAATTACCGTTCGAACAAAAACCATGTGCATCACTCACAAAGTTTTGGCGAAATTGGTCCACAGTCTGGCCATTTTGCTTCTCATGAGAAAATCTCCGCTCGTAGTCAATCCATGTCCAGTCGTGTTAAACAAATAGTAAACATCTTCGCCATGTCCCGCTCTATCAACACCTAGTTCTGAATAAAAGTTACGTGTATGAAAAACTTGAGCGGGGTCAAAAATACCTTCTACTATTCCGTGACTTACTGTACCATAATAGGAGAATTCATAGAAATACACACGAGTGTATTGAGACTGAAGCTCAACCTGCTTGATGATTGATTTAGTAAACAAGACAACGCTAACGTACTATGGGAAAAAAATATAAAAAAATCAAAATTCGCCAGAAATGAAGCAATACCGGCGTAAACATACTTGATTTTATTTGCAAGTAGGTCTAAATCTGTACCAGGTTTGGGTTTGGGTTTGATGGTGTTACTATTCTTGGATTCATATCGCAACCAAGAGCGAAAAGCTCAAGAATCCCAGGAATCACTAGAATACGATTCGCAACATTAATTAAAAACACACCTTGGGTGCCCTTTTGCTTATCGTCATTTTTGTTACTTACTTTTCAATACCTTAGCTGATTCGTCAGAGGTTGTTCCTATCATCAGTGGAACTTGATTGAATTTTCCACGTTCTACAACGTCGTAGGTTAGTTGGGTTACATACGCCTCCTCGTCTTCCACTTCAATCACTGGTCCTGACTAAAAGACAAAGTATTATGAGTCGTTGCTGTTGATTTCATTACAAGGTTGCAGCGTTCAATTTGACATTTAGAAGATATCAATAACTACAACAACATAATCAGTGAGAGAAAGGATCAAAGAAGAAGATATTTCCTTTTCCTATGCTTAAATTTTTCAATTAATTATCTTGAACACATAACCGGAATTTTGTTTTTAACACTTACTTCAGAATTTACATTAAAAACTTCCGTTAGGACACCAGTTGATTGACTTAGAAAAAGGTCCCTAATTTCGGTGGTTGTGTTTTCGTCGGAAATCAGAGGATTGGCGATGTCATAAGCGCCCTTTTTGCAATCGCTTTGGGACGTCAGACTCAACTTCGTCAAAGAACAGCCTCTCTGACAGATGGCCGCCCTGTACAACCCAGCCGATTTCTCGCTAACTATGTGTGCTCCGACAGATATACCGCCAGCACTTTCACCGAATGGTGTATCCTTATTTGGATCCCCGCCGAAAAATTTGATGTTTTTCTGGGTCCTTTTCATAGCCATAGGAGTTGATCTTTTAACCCGGCGTTGCCCAAAATTAGATTGTCCGCGATAGACAAAAAACCAAATATTCCCAGCATATAATTAACAGTGACCACGATAACGTCTTTATTTACCAGGGCATATGGTCCAAAAACATCGTCATTTGCACACCCGCTGCCGTGTATCCAGAGCATAACCTGTAATTTCTCTTCTGTAATCTGATAATAAATTATTATGATTGCAGCGCATCTTCAAGTGAGCTTAGAATAATATCCTTACCTTTCTTGCAGGTGTGCAGACATTGAGAAACAAAGTCTTCGCTTTGTGGTGTTAAGTCGGTGAGCATTGTCAAAGAAATATAACAACTTCTGTGTTGTATGTGTTCAATATGCCTTCCCATGGCTCGTTGGGTATCGGAGCCTGAAGCAATTTCCAACATTATACTCAGAACCAAATGTTTAATTTTGACGCTGACGGTACCTGGAATCTAAGTTTCCCTAATGGGGAGAGTAGCGTATGGAATTCCTCCATAGGCATGGTAGCTGTAATTTGCAGTTTGAATTTTAGACCCAAGAAGCGTGCCATCGGGAAGTTGAACTAAAAGGTCGGCACGCTGTAAACAAGCACAAAATAATATTCAAGGGACCTATTGGAGGTTATATCGTGGAGTAAAACAATTAGGAAAAAAGAGTTCGAACTTTGGTCAGTTACGCAACAAAAATGAAAATGAAATCGATCTGCATTGTATTTATATGAAAATGGCAGCTGATAAAAGATTAATATCGAAATATCTGATATATTTCTACTCCCTACTCCAAAATATAGAATTATGCACTGGTTAGGACTGCGATAAGTGTTACTTAAAGACGTTCAACTCGTTAATGACGGTCGCGTTTCCGATATTTTAGTCAAAGGTTTGGGAGCCATCGGATGTTTTCTTTAGATTTCAAAGTCTAATGGTATTTTGACGTTTGTCAGTTCTGAGTGAATTTATTCGTGCTGTTTTTCAACATTGTACCCAAAAACCAATGGTTGTAGAAAAAGTATAGCACGTTGATAAACTTCATCAGAGTATCGTTTATTAATGTAAAGTTAGTTCTAACGTTATATATTCTTCTATAATATGGGGTCTTCAGTGGTATATACTGTAGAATGTAAAAAAAAATACAATTGCTATATATTTATATTAAGTAACTGAATAACATTCCACTAAAATCCATCAAAAGGTTGCTCTCCATAAACGTAAAATACTTCATTCCACATGTGCATTTCCTTCTTTTTCTTGCCGTATTTAACTTGAATTGTCTCGTCTATATCTAGATAAGGGATATCGAATCTGGATGCTTGAGGCCATCTTACGTTGAGAAGCAGCGGATCCACCGGATCTGGTGTAGGGTTCCTGATAAATAAAAAAATTAGCTTGCTAACAGGAACTCTTCCACTCATCATCCACTCACAAAATCTTTGCGAAATTGGTCCACAGTCGAGCTAGCTGCCTCCTCATTACAAATTCTCCGCTCGTAGTCAATTCATGTCCAGTGGTATTAAAAAGATAATACACATCTTCGCCATGTCCTACTCTACCAACACCTGAAATAGAATGAAATTTACGGTCGTGTATCGCTTAAGATACAAATTTAATCGAAAGGTACCTTCTACTGTGCCGTGGCTTACTGCTCCGAAATAAGAGAATTCATAGAAATACACAGGGGTGTATTGGGATTGAAGCTCAACCTGCTTGATGGTTGATCTGGTGAACAAGTAATCACTGGCAAACTAAAAGCGAAAAATAAAGTTACAAGGGAATTCAAAACACTGTTTTTAAACATAATGCGATAACAATTAGGGTCAAATACTCAATTTGGCTTGCTAAGAATACACGCATATTAACAATTACCTCAATAAACGTTGAAGTGTTTGCCACGAATGTCCCGTTACCAGCGTATGTAGTTTTAATTTTACTCGCAAGTAGATCCAAATCCGTACCAGGTTTAGGCGTTAAGTTTGACGGTATTACTATTCTTGGATTCATATCGCAACCCAGAGCGAAAAGCGGAAGAATTCCAGGAATCACTGCAACGTTATTGAAATTATTAAATAAGCGTAATCATACCACTTTTTTCTTTGCCAAAATTTTCTTGCTTACTTTCTAAAACCGTAACTGATTCGTCAGACGTTGTTCCTATTATCAATGGGACTCGATTGATTTTTCCAGTTTTCACAAGATCGTAACTCAGTTGAGTGATATACGCATCTTCGTGTTCCACTTCAATTACGGGACCTGACTAAATGACAACCATTATGAGTGGACCTTTGGACACCATTCAAGTATACACATAATGGGTTAAACATGTTTTTTCTAAACCATAATTTATAGGTTTGTGATATAGGCTACTTACTTCGGAATTTATATTAAAAGCTTCCGTCAAAACGCTAGCTGGTTGTCTTAGGAAAAAGTCCCTAATTTCAGTCGTGGTGTTTTCGTCGGAAATCAGGGGGTCTATGGCTTTGGCGATGTCGTAAGCGCCCTTTTTGGAATTGCTTTGAGATGTAAAAGTCAATTTCGTCAACGAACATCCACTTTGACAAATAGCAGCTCTATATAACCCAGCCGATTTCTCGCCCACTATGTGTGCTCCGACAGATATTCCGCCCGCACTCTCGCCGAATATGGTAACTTTCTCTGGGTCCCCGCCGAAAAACTCGATATTTTTTTGTGTCCATTTCATAGCTAATAGCTGATCTTTTAACCCCGCGTTTCCCAAAACAACTTCGTCTTGGGTAGACAAAAAACCAAATATTCCCAAACGATAATTAATCGTGACTACTATAACGCCTTCATTTGTCAGTGCATACGGATCATACAGATCATCATTTCCACATCCTGCCTTAAACCCTCCACCGTGTATCCAGAACATGACGGGTAATTTTTCTGTAATCTAATTGAGTTGTTATGGTTGCAGCCTATTCATAAAGCTTAAAATAATAAAATTACTTTTTGCGCTGGTGTGTAAACATTGAGAAACAAACAATCTTCGCTTTGTTTCGTTAAGTCGGTGAACATTGTCATCGCAATACAGCAACTTCTGTGTTCGGTAGCATCCAATATTCCATCCCATGGTTCATTTGGTAGCGGCGCCTGGGACAGTTACCAAAGTTATATTAAACACAAAAGTGATATTTTTAAGCTAAGCACCTGGAATCTAAGCTCCCCTAGCGGAGGAGTACCATACGGAATTCCTCGATAGGCATAGTAGGTGTAATTTTCGGTTTGAACTTTAGATCCAAGAATTCTGCCATCTGGAAGATCCACCAAAAGATCGGCCCACTAGAAAAAGTACGAAAAATTATAGCAGCCTCAACATCATCATTACTTGACGATGGAAATTCAAATTTTTAAACTGCGTAACAATCCATCTTTATCTTAAAGAACTAACACTGTTAATTTTGATCCAGCAAGCACGACACATGATCACAAAATTAAAGTCAAAACAATTTAGTTGAAAATAATAAAATAAAAAATAATTAAACTTACCGCCAATGAAATGTTTACTATCCCAAGTAGTATCAAACGATGCATTTTTGTTGTGACAACTTTTAAGCGTCGAATTTCTTTATATTCAACTGGCTTGTACTTATCAAAGATAAATATCATTATATTTCAATAGTATATACGCAAAAAAAAATTATCTCAATTATACTTATCTACTACAGCGTGTAATATTGACATCGAATTCCAAAAACGCGCATTGACTCATCATTTGGCGCTACAACCCTGGGTGGGTTTCGACTGCTTGCACAACTTTTTTTCCAAATGACCTTGTCTTCCAGCGGCATATAATTAAAAGAAATGTTCCTTTTTCGGATTTTTCATTTAATGCTGAGGGTACAATGTCTAATAATGATGTCAATTCAAAGACTCATTTCAATTCGGGAAAAACAAACACATAAGTATTTATCTACTTTCTTCTTGTATACGATATTTGCGCTCATATTAAAGAATTGTATTTAAAAGTAAAATTGCTCTAAGTGGTATTAACAATCCATTTACCTATCATCTCCCGAACAAAAAATATAAAATTTACCTCCGGGGTATGTTGTGTACGGCAACAGCGAACCTGGTTGCTTCGCTTTCTCTGTCTTGGGTGAGAACCTCCAAATACTTTTTTCTGTAATATTGGATTCGTCTCTTTTTTCGCTTTTAAAAACAAAATTAATATGAACGCTAGAAGCCCTGTTGCAGAAAAAGCTAATTATAACCACCTGAGGAAAGATTGTAACTGAAGAGACCAAGGGAAGTTGAGCTGGGCTAGGCGGACGACCTAGGACAGTGGCTAAAATAACTGTTAGCGGAGTTTTATCAATAAAGGGGAAGAATGCTGGGAGCTGTTGCAATATTAGTGTTTTCAGTATGATATGATGTTTCATAATAAAAAAATCAAATTTATCCACCTAAGCATTTAAAGCAGACTGGTCAACCACGTCTACAGAGACATACTTGTCCTAGCAGAAGCAGATGCGTAATGGATATGGAAAAAACAATAGTGAAAGCTAATTTAAAAACAAATATAATGTAGGTGTTTTAAGTTGAACCAGAATGCTTACCCCGACCACAGCTTTTGTAGCAGCAGCACTCAGAAGCAATGTCAAGCATCAAGAAAGTTGAAAAGAATGCTCTATTCGTTTAAAGGAAGGGACAACACAATCCATAAAACTTGGAGAGCCAACTATGAAACAGGATTTTTAAGAGCTGCATGTTGGAAGCATGCATGCATAAATGAGAGAAGACTCAGAAAGGACATATATACTATTAACAAGGATAATAAATTACTAAAATTACTAAATATTACTAAATATGACTAAAATTACTTAAATATTTCTAGAAATGGATACATTACACTGTACCAGTGAACCGATATAGATATTAATACATTTTAATTATATTAATGTAATTTTAGCAATTCCTTCAACTCAGTATGTACCTCTATGCAGAAGTGGAGACGATGAACAAGACCAAATATTCCTGTAGAACTTGACTAGGTTTCTGGAGGCTAAGATGTTGGTTTGGCTATACAATATGGCGTAAAAACAGCCATTTTTTCCCAAGTGGGTGTATGAAAGGGTCTAAATTTGGTAGGTACTGAGAAAAAATTATTTTACATTCATTGATGATATTTTCTAAATTGTCAGAGCTACCTTTTATCACATACGGCTATAGAATTTGATTTTTTCATAGGCAAGCAAGTTTTTTCGGTAGTTAGCCTTATATTTGATGTCTATTAAAAACATTACGAGTAACCCCTAGTAAGGTGTCTAAAGGTAAAGGTTACCTTTGTTATAAAAATACAAAATGTTATTCAAGCTTTCATTTGGACAAATCGCTGTGGATTGTATGGCAATACAAGAAAATATGGATGGAAGAAATTATTGCGAAAATAATATGTAATAATTATTACAATTCTTTTTTTTTAAATTTTTGTTTTATTTCAACATTTTCACTTATTTGTAAATTCTCGTTTTAATGATAAAGCTTAAGAAATGTTAAATGATCAGTGTACCCTAAAAACTTGAAATTTTACTTTTAATTTGTTCTATATAGAGTGGTCCATAAGTAATTGTAAATTCCAGAAGAAAAAAAGCAATAAATACCTTAGTAAAATGGTGTTTGTTTAAAATATGGTGAAGTTGTCAATGCTGTCATTCATAAAATCTAGATAAATTTGTTTTGCCAGACGTCAACCCTAATAAATACGCAGTGATAACGCCTCAGTTCGACGTCAAAATCATGTCGTTCAAATAAAACAGCTATATTATATTCGTCCTTTTCTATTTGTTCCTGCGAGATCTCGTGCGAAACCACCAGTCTCGCCTTTCGGGATTTTGGATACTTTGAACATTCTACACTTTTTGGTGTTCCTTCCGTGACTAGAATTTTTCGAAAGCATTAGATCTCTCCCAAATTTTACAAGTCTTCTGAATTACTCCTACATCCATTGTTGATAAATCGAACTTGCTGACGTTTCGCCAATCATCTTGTTGGCTTCTTTAGAGCTTAGGAAAAGAAGTCAACAATATGTTTGGAGAAAGGTCCGCAAGTTCCATTGTTCAAAAATCCAGAATATTTTTGTAAATAGTGACCGCATGCTTGAGTCGTGAATATTAGAGTAGAAAAATTATAGTGAATATTTAGAAAATATTTTCATTTTTTGTTGTCAAGTACTCTGTCTGGAGATCCCAATATTTCGATAATTTTTGTACATTGACCAAAACAACATGACTCACAGTGATTATGCGTACAGATTATATTGTTACATTTGTGTCATTAATATTTTGGTGTATTATCAAACTTTTAATCATAGATGTGCCACGTGTAAAATATTTTTCATTATCCATGATCCATGTTTTCAGGTTTTTTCCTTTTCTTCAATATCGACCTCTTGCTTAAATACTTATTCTTTCATTCTGATTCTTTTGGAGCAGAAAGTGCTTGCAAAATGCAAATATGGGTGTCTCTTCTTACTCGATCTCAAACGTGGTAGAACTGCAAATTTCAAAAGCATATAACAACTAAAGTGAGTATGAAATTGTACAACGTCACTACAATGTTAATCAAAAGTCGTTCCGCAACTTGTTTAATGGTATTAAAGTCCTATTTCTAAGAAGGAAAAACGTGCGTGTAATTGATAGCGTTATCTGAAGATAGTAATCTAGAGGTCGTAGTTCCAACAGCCTCCTCGTACATGATTATTTTATATTATTTTAAGCGTAATAAGAAATCGAAAGCGAATTCTAAAAAGCCATGATTGGTGATGAAGGAGCATGCAATGTTTAGAATGTCATCTGGCACTGACAAACAGAGGTTTGTTTTTTTTTTTCAATGAAATTGCCACAGTCTTATTTTAGTCAACAAGAAGATTGGCGAAACGCCAGCATGTTCGATTAGACAATTAGACAATTATACAATTAGACAATTTTGTATTTCCTTTGACTTTTAACAAAGTATAGGATAATGTCCATACAAAATATGTTAACATTAAATTAAGGCATACGCTCGGAGGAGTTGCAATTTAGATATTCATTTATATCTTAAAAAGCATATTTTGCTAATTTATTTTTAAGTAGAGTTTTAAAGTCACTAATATTTTATATTTTTTTTGATGTCAGTGGAAGTTTATTATAAAGTTGAACTTCCAGAACTAACGCGCTATTTCCTACCTTAGCCAGTCTGTGCTTAAACAACATCACACTTAAATTGTCCCTAAAATCATATTGAGCGTTTGTGGCATCTTCTTCTTCTTCTTCTTCTGCTTCCTTCTTTATATTAGGCGAGTCGCCTGTTCCTTCGTCGTCTCTGCCAGTTAGACTGCCAAGTTGTCGCACCAACGTTTTCGAGAACGTCCTCCACTTCTGCAACCTAGCATTCTTTCTTCCTACTGTGTACCCATTCATTCACATTTTCCACCTTGCATGCTCTTATTCTGCTCTCATTTCTTTCTCTGTCTAGCAGTGTTTTTCCAGCTATTCTGCGAAGTACTCTCATTTCGGTTGTCTCTAGTAGTTGTTTGGTTTTTGCTGTATCAGCTCAAGTTTCTGCAGTATATGTCATAATTGGTCTCACCGTTGCCTTGGTTCTTGTTCTCTCACCTCCGCCTCAATATCACCCTATCCTGAGATTTCTCTGTATCAGAATAATTTGATATATTATTTTTTATATGCATTATCGAAGCTTAAATATATAGAGACGAGAACGTTCATAAATTTAGTTTATGAAATAATGTTTTGCAAGAGTATGCATATACCTTAAATAAAATAATTCTCAGTATCCCCTTTTGTGCTTTGGCCAGCTCACAGCTCCACACAGTCACCCCAACACCGATGATATATGACAAACAGGATTGTATGTAGCCATAATAGTAAAGTAACAAACGGTGAACATCGACCTTATATTTCAATTATCAAAGTTCATACGCATATACTGGAAGTTTCTTAAATACTGCATCAACCTGATTAGTCCACATAAAGTGTCCGTCAATAAAAACTCCCAGATATTTCACAACTCTGGTTTGTTTAAACGTTTTATTATTTAATTTAACAAGACTACTCTTATTTAAATCTGTCAACAATGATCAACAACAGACTTATCAACAAGAATCAAAAATCGAAATTCGTTTTTTTTATTGTCACATCGAATTTATAATAACGTTTTAGAGCTTGTAAAATAGTTCCCTGATAGTTTTCGTTATCTGTGACATTTCTTCTGCATTACTGGGACAATTGTTTTTTTTTTCTGATACAGCATTGGTTCGAAGGCAATTGGAGAAATAGTTACAGTTAGGTAGTAAACCTACTAATCAGAAAATTCTTCAGTTAAGGCTCAAAAATCATCATCTTCATCTTCGTTACTGTTGAGTAATGAAAATAGTAGAAAGGATAATTTCAAAAAGTTCACCATTCTCTGCAATTTTACTGATTCATTTTATCAAAAAACTGCCTCTAACTGATAGTGTTATCTGAAGATAATGATTAAGGGGTCAAACTTCAACCAATCTCTCATAACTATAGATTGATTTTTAAAACTTTTATTACTAGTCAGAATTTCCATTGTTAAATAAATACCACAACA